GGAGTCCTCTTGTAGGAGTGAGTTTTTCAAGACTCAAGAGTAAAAGCACAGATAAGTAGAGCAAAAAGTAAGAAGGTATCTCTATAAACTTAGGAATTTCAAAGCAAATAAGGAACTCTGGTTAAAAACTAAAGATACTGTGAAAAAAATAGTCGAGCAGATGATGAAGGAAAGGGAGGTTAGGAGGACATGGATGCACATAGATATGGACATGTTTTATGCTGCGGTAGAAATAAGAGATAATCCTAGTCTAAAGAAAAAGCCTGTTGCTGTTGGAGATAATACTATGATCACAACTACAAACTACATTGCTAGAAAGTATGGTGTAAAGAGTGCCATGCCTGGATTTATAGGCAGAAAGCTTTGTCCACACTTAGTTTTTATCAAGCCAAATTATCCCAAATATAGATAGGCTTCAGATCAATTTAAGAGAATTCTTGCTATATATGATCCTAAATTAGAGAGCGTGGGACTTGATGAGGCAAATTTGGATCTTACAGATTATTTAGTAGACAATAAGATGGATAATGATCTTGGAAAAATATTCATAGCTTAAAAGATACGTGAATAAATTTTTATGGATATGGGTATGACAGCAAGTGCAGGTATCGCTTGCAATAAAATGCTGGCTAAAATATGTTCAGAACTTAATAAACCGAATGGTTAGACCTATATGTATAATGATGAAGTTGAAATACTAAAATTTATGATGGACTTGCCTGTAAGGAAAATTCCAGGAGTTGGTAAAGTTAATGAGCATATATTATCTGGTTTAAATATTTATTCATGCAAAGATCTAGTTGAAAAAGCAACAGAGGTATATGTTACTTTTACAGAATATGCCTTTCAATTTTTAGTAAAGAGTGCTCTAGGTATGGCTAGAGTCATGCATGAGAAAGAGGAAGGAGTAGTAGCTCAACGAAGTATGGGAGTAAGCTGTACATTTAGACCAATTCATAGATACAATTAATTCAGAGAAAAGCTATTTAGATTAGCTGCTGAACTTGAATCTAGAGCTCACTAAAATAAAGTCATGGGAAAGACTTTAGTCCTAGAATTTAAGAGTTTTAAATTTGAGACTAAGATTAAATCAATGACTTTTCCCCATTATCTCTACAGCTAGAATCAATTCAAGAAATATGGTATCTTGCTATTAAACTAAGCATGGCCAATTGAAGCTATCAGGTTGATGGGCTTGAGATTATCAAATATGAGAGATCGTAGGAAAGACAAAGGCGTCAAAGTATGTCCTGAGGTTCAAATAAATGATGCTGATTTGATTGAACCACCTGGAGGTCCTGATGGGAATTAACAAGAAACATAGGACTAAGGAGATGGAGGAAATAATTAAGAAGAAGATAAGATTGTTTTTAGTGATACAATGCATCATCCATCAAACGATTAGAATAATGCAAATCTTGACGATGAAGGCATAGAAGATCCAGAAATTGAATAAAAGCACGACGAGGAAAACATGAAGCATGCCAAAGAGAAGTTGTTTAAGTAAAAATATGGTCCAGGGGAAAAGAAGAAAAAGAAAATCAAAGGGGAAAAGGAAATCCTGTCTGAGAATAGTAGATCTATCTAATCTTGGAATAATGTGCCAAGATTCCATATGGATAAAATAATGGGAAAGAGTGAGAAGGAGAAGCGTTAAGAGAGAGTTCAGAAAATACTGAAGAAGTAGAATCAGAGAGGAATTGAAAGTTTTATGAATGAGTCTGATAAATATCTAAGCAAAAGTGATCACTTTGTCAAGTAATTTGAGGAACTGAGCAAAATCAAGAACAAAAACGATGGAATAAACAATTGTAGACAAATTAGAAACAAATTAAAAAAGAAAGAGGAAAGACAGCAGAAAGATATAGATAGCGGAATGTTTGGAGTTCCCAAGTCTTTTAAGCCAATCTGAAACTCAATAAATTCACCTTAATTTAAAATAATTTCATAACTACGCTTAAACTCAATTTTGGCATTGAGGTTTTGGGGTTTTGGGG